AACCCCTAACTATTGACTTTCTCGACCACCAACTGTCAACTTTCTCAACCACCAACTGTCAACTTGCTCAACTGGCAACGTGCTTAACACCGCTAACTGTCAACTTGATCAACCGTCAACGGCCCACTTGCTCAACCGTCAACCGTCAACTGCTCACTTCCTCAACCACCAACTGTCAACTGGCAACTTTCTCGACCATCAACCAACTGGCTCAAACACCAACTCTTCAACTTGCTCAATCGTCAACGGTCAACTATCAAACGGCTCAACCGCCATCTGGCAACTTGGTGAACCACCAACTGTCGACTGTCTCAACCACTACCTCGTAACTGGCTCAATCGCTATCTGGCAACTTGCTCAACCGCCAACTGTCAACTGGCTCCCTCGTTCCACTATTAACTGGCCAACGGGCTTCCTGGCTGACCGGCCATCCCGCCAACTGTCAATTTGCTGAACTGCCAACTGGCTTGCTGGATTACTTGCTGAAGCATCTGGTACCTTGCTAAACCACCAACTGTCAAATGGTTGATCCGCGCTCTGCCACCTTGCTCAACCACCAACCGTCAACTTGCTCAATCGTCAACTGTCAACTGCCAACTTGCCCAACCACCAACTGTCAACTTGCCCAACCACCAACTGTCAACCTGCTTAACCACCAACTGTCAACCTGCTTAACCACCAACTGTCAACTGGCTTAACCGCCATCTGGAAACTTTCTCAACCACCAACTGTCAACGAGCTCAATCACCAACGGGCTCCCTGATGGAACTGCCAATTGGTAACTGGCCGGATGCCAACTGTCTTACTGTTTCAACTGGCACTGTCTTCCTGGCTTAACTGGCACTGTCTTCCTGGCTCAACTGGCACTGTCTTCCTGGCTGAACCGCCAACTGTCAACTTACTCTGCCATCAACTACCAACTTGCTCTGCCGTCCTGGGTCAACTCGTTTACCTGGCAATTGTCAATTTCTCTGAACTGCTACCTGTCAACTGGCTCAAACCCCAACTGTCAGCTTCCTTGACTACGAACTGCCAACTGTCGATTTTCTCAACCGCCAACTGTCAACTTGCTCAATCGTCAACTGTCAACGGTCAACGGTCAACTGTCACCTTGCTTAACCGCTAATGGGCAACTTGCCGAGCCGTCAACTGTCAACTGGCTTAATCATCAACTGTTAACCTGCTCAATTGTCAACTGTCAACTTGCTCAACCAACTATCAAATGATTAAACCACCAACTGTTAACGTGCCCAATCGTCAACTGTTGACTTTTCTAAACCACCAACTGTCAATTGGCAACTGGATCAATCGTGAACTTGCTCAACCACCAACTGTCAACGTGCTCAACCACCAACTGTCAACTTGCCAAACTACCAACTGTCAACTGGCTCCCTCACTCTACAATTAACTGGCTAACAGGTTCAATGATCAACGGCCTTCCTGGCTGAACCGTCATCTGGCACCTTGCTCAATCGTCAACTGCCTACTGCGAAGTGCCAACTGTCAACTTACTCTGCCGGTGACTGGCAATTTGCTTATCCACCAACTGTCAACTAACCTTGCCGGCGACTGGCAACTTGCTCAACCGTCAACTGATAACTCGCAACTGGTAACGTGCTCAATAACCGCCAACTGTCAACTTGCTTAATCGTTAACTGCGAACTGCGAACTGCCAGCTTGCTTAACTGTCCACTGCCAACTGTCAAATGGTTGAACCGTCAACTGTCACCTTGCTTAACCGCCATCTGGCAACTTTCTTGACCACCAGCTGCCAACGTGCTTAACCACCAACTAGCAACTTGCCCAACCACCAACTGTCAATTGGCTCCCTCGCTCCACGACCAACTGGTCAACGGGCTCATCATCAACGACCTTCCTGGCTGAACCGTCATCTAGCCAATTGTCAACTGTCAAACGGCTTAACCGCCATCTGTCAACTGGCTCAATCACCAACTGTCAAATGTTTGAGCCGCCGTCTCGCACCTTGCTCAATCGCCAACTGTCAACTTGCTCAATCGTCAACTGTCAACTGTCAACTGTCAAACGGCTCAACTGCCATCTGGCAACTTGGTGAACCGCCAACTGTCCACTGGCTCTGCCGACAACTGTCAAATGCTTGATCCGCGCTCTGCCACCTTGCTCAACCACCAACTGTCAACTGTCAACTGTCAACTGTCAACTGTCAACTTGCCCAACCACCAACTGTCCACTTGCTCAATCATCAACTGTCAATCGTCAACTTGCCCAACCACCAACTGTCAACTTGTCTGCTAGCGACTGGCAACTTGCTCAACTGTCAACTGATAACTCGCAACTGGCAACGTGCTCAACAACCGCCAACTATCAATTTGTTCAATCGTTAATTGACAACTGCGAACTGCCAGCTTGCTTAATCGTCCACTGCCAACCGTCAAATGGTTGAACCGTCAACTGTCACCTTGCTTAACCGCTAATGGGCAACTTGCTGAGCCGTCAACTGTTAACTGTCAACTGTCAACTGCCAACTGCCAACTGTTAACTATCAACTGGCTAAGCCGCCAATTGTCAAGTGTTTGAACTGCCAACTGCCAACTGTCTCCCTAGTCAAACCATTCACTCTCAACTAGATTACTTACTGAACTGCCCTCTGGCAACTTGCTGAACTATGGACTGGCTTACTGGCTCAACGGTCAACTATCAACTGCGTTACTGGCTGTTGCATAATCATTAATCGCCAACTGCCAATCGACTTTCCGGCCTAATTACTAATAGCCCTGTTGAATCGCTAATTCAATCAATAGTTCCAAGCTGTAGTATAAAGCTCCATAAACTAATATATATAAATAGTCAATATATGAACCTGGGACAGAATCTGTCAACAATATATATTGTAAGGGCTCATTCAATAGTCATATTGGAAGCTAAGTACAAGAATACCAAACATGGAGAAAGAAAGAAAAAGCTAGGAATGTGAGGCTATCTGCAAACAAGATGTATTGTCGTGATCACGTGACAGAATCACGAACCCCCCTACGTAACCCTAGCATGTGACTACGTAAACCGAACTCTGCGAATAACCTCATTACTGACCGTCACATATATAATATAGATGGTTGCATTGACTACGATCCATCTACGCGATATGGGTGGAATTGGAGGGACTGTGATATAACCTCTGTAATGTTAACTCTCTAAACACTATCGAATGAAATTAGCGGACTAAACTGAACCTTTTGCAGGCTCCAGAAGCTGTTGGAATACATGATAAGCCACCCAGGCAGCATTCGATCCTTCAACCCCAAATGTCGCTCGCTTCTGCCCTAGCCAAAGCATATATGCTGCCTCGTTGGATTGTACGTGCTCACCACCAAGACCAGGCAGCAAGCCTTCTGTCCAGGCCTTGATCTGATAGATCGCCCAGCAAGCTTGCATGACGAGATCAGGATAGAGGCAGGTTCCCTGGCCCTGTTGACTGCACACCGCTTGTGGATTATAACAACGAAAGCACCCGGCATATCGCTGCATCCAGCCTTGAAACCGCTTTCCTTCCTGCTGTGCCCTCTTTTTTGACTCAAGAAAGTCCTGTCGACGAGGATTCCAACACTTGATAAAGGAATGCTTTTTCGTGTTGGCAGATGATGATGGTAGGATACGGCAGATCACGCAGGTGCCACGGAGCGCCTGGAGGGAATCCTCATACTGCTGTAATTGCTGGCTCTCCTGCTGGATCTGCTGGATTCGCATCTGAGACCCAATAGTCAGATCGCAGTCGACGTTCTCCTCTGGATTAGGCGAGCAGGTCGTAGTAGGATCAGTCGAAGAAGATTCAGGATTCTCTTGACGGAAGCGACATTGATCACAGAGAGGATCAGGCGCGCTGCAGGCCACTGCAGCCCCATCGAGGAAGGAGCTCATCGCAGCGACTCGACAGTTCGGCTGATCTAAAACAGCATGCATAGCCTGTACATCAGACGAGATCATATGGCCTGGTCGGCTCGACTTGGTAATACTCCATGAGGGAGGGAGTAAGGTAATAGAACGACCGCCCTGTTGGTCACGTCCTAGGCGGCCTACCTCCTGCGTAAACTCAATGAGACTGGATGGAGCTCCAAGATGGATAACAAGGCGGACTCGTGGATGATCAATTCCCATTCCAAAGGCAGAAGTGGCAACAATCCAATTTGGATTTCCATTACGCCACGTCTCGAGGGTTTGCGCCTTCTCTTCACGAGTCCCAGAATCAGCATGGTAGAAGGGACATGCAAGAATCGTAGCCACTTTCTCTGTAATCGCTTGGGTTTGGCAGTAGAGAATTGCACGCTCTTGAGAGTCTAGTTGGGTACGCTCTTGCTGGATCCAAGGAATTGCAAACTTGAAGAAGTCCTGATCCATAGGGCAGGAAACGACCTGATAGGATAGATCACGGCGAGTGGTGAGGCTACGGATCAATCGTGCCTGAGAGAGTAGCATGGTTTGCTCAAATTCTGCCATCATGACTGGTGGTAGCGTGCCAGTGAGGAAGACCATCTGACACTGAATATCGCGTAACGTAGGAAGCAAGGCCAGTCCCTTGCGGTAAGAAGAGGCGGTCAGAGTCAGATGACACTCATCAAATACAACACGATCAAGTTGATTGGCAAGCTGTAGCCGAAGAAGAAAGGTTCGGAAGTTGATATGTACTGCCTGCTCAGCGCTTACTAGGATCAGTGGACTCGATCCAAGGTGCCTGGATTCATCCTGCTGATTCCAGATGGTCACCTTAATTCCAGCATTCTGACATCGAAGGAGCATGTCCTGCTTGAGGACCAATAAAGGGAGCACTACCACGGTTGTTCGTGCACCAGGAAGCTGGCAGGGCAGAAGATAGAGTAGGCTCTTGCCCTCATTTGTTCGAAGAACTGCAACCACTTGACTAAAACCCTGGATGATATACTGCAAGGCTTGTTGCTGATTACTGGTTTGATACTGCGCTTCTGGTCCATACATGCGCTTTAGAATGGTCTGCGCCTGCTCCATAGTCCAGCGCTGTTGACTCTGTCGTGGTTCGTGGCAACGATGAAATCGTTGAACTAGTGTGGACTCAGTTGCCTCACTCCGCACTCGCTTGGAAGGACTCTCATCCCATTCCCACTCTATATTGACGTTGGCTGGTTGCAAGGACTGAGTGAATACAGCAGGCAGTCGTCTTTTTAATAAGCTAGGTGTAGAGTACTGCGAGGGCTGTTTGATTAATTGATGCCAGATCTCGCTAGCTTGGCGGAATTCTTGAAGACCAGCATCGGTGAGACCGGCTCGAAAATTGATGGTCCCTCCATAGATCTGATTCCCAGTATGAGGTGTATGTGCAGCCTGATAATGGAATACCGCAGCCATACTGCCATTGTGATCCTCTATAAGGTCATCTTCATTATCAAGAGAATCCTCAATAAACTGTGACGCAAGAGTTCTAAACTTCTTAATGGCAATCCCAACAGTGATCTGGCGCCAGGCTCGAATATGAATCTTCTTACCAAGGATCTGCTCTCCAGTCCGGATCACGGTCCGCGTAAGATGATTATCAGACCAAGGCTTTGTCGTAGAGGCCCACAGGTAGTCACAGAGTGGAGTGGATGTGGAAGAATGCATAGTTTGCACCTGGTGCTGTAACCACTGTCGGAAGGGCATAATTAAGATGAGAAACTGCGTAACTAAGTGTCCTACTTCTGGGAGAAGAAACCGGGCGGGCCATCGAGAGGCATTAGTACGATGACGACTCTTATGATAATCCAGAATAAAGAGCATTTGACCATCATGGAGGAAGAGATCGCGAGTATGCAGGAGGGTGTTGCGCCATCGAATTCCTAGGAACTCAGTGCGTCGCGCTTGCTGGCCAGATCCAATAAAGATGGGACGAGTAAAGCCTCTAGGATCGCTGGATAGTTGCTTCGTACTGTTCTACCATCTTGGGTGAGATCCGCCAGGTCTGATCACACCCAACTCCCAAAAGATTGGAAACAGAACTGCATCCTGACTGACTCGACGGAAGAGCCAGTCCTGATAGGGTACTACGTAGGCATGATTGCGAGAATCTGTGAGAAAGGATGCACCAGCTTGTGTAGCATCCCAGTTATCCATCAGATTACTAAGATCAAATTGAGGGATCTCAGTAGCCGGCCGTGCTGGGCCGGATAAACACAACTCTTGCTCGAAGATGGCCTGCGCGGTAGAGATGCCCTCGCGGATCAGTCGAGAGAGTTCCAACAAGGACAGACTTACATCTTGGAATGTAATGACTTGGCCCTCTCGATCCCATCGTACTTGAGCAGGGGGGACCTCACTCATTGCAATCCGGAATGCATACAGTCGATTCTCCAGTAGCTCCGCCACGGGTCCCTTGGTATCATTGATAGCCATCGATCGCGGTGTCTAATAATAATATCTCCAAGATCCTGAGTAGGATGGTTCTGTTGTTCTAGGATAGAAAGGGCTAGGATCCAGATCTGACAGTTATAGATCAGTTGTGAGAGAAAGGAGGTGTATTGCTAACTGTCATCCACTGTTTCTTATCTGGTATCCAGAATAAAAGTGCTGCAAAGGAGACCAGGATAGAGTTAAAGGCTCGCAAAGAGACTGACTGTTGGATAATCTCAGGCAAAATGCAAGGGTTGTTTATCCATCTCCTGCTGGAGTTGATGGAGAGCCTCATCATTATTCTGCTCTAATTCTTAGTTGGTGACTTAGATTCTTAGCAGTAGTGATCACGTCATCCCAGGTAGACTTCTGACCCTCTGTTGGCAGAAATAAAGGATTAGGAAGGAGCTGGTCATCCATTACTCGACTCCAATAACAGATCAACCTCTGCCAGGTCTGAATGTACCGAGAGCGACTCTGAGGATTCTGGAGAGGCTGGATAGGATTCTGCGAGATCTCTCCTCGCGCAAAGGTATTGAGAAGTCGAGCATTGTAGCGACTTAGCCGTGGGATGTCACTAACAGGGTTGTGATGTAGTAGCTGTTCTGTCTGTCTCCAGATTCGGTCCACGCTGGCGCAGATGAGATCTAATCTTGTCTCATCATGATTGGGAAGTCGATAAAGATCTCCCACCGTTTCTAGATCTAATCCAGTAAGGTGAACATGAATACCAGTGGTTCGCAACCATGGAGTAATTTCAGAGATATGCTGACTGTCATTCACAGTATATGACACAGAGTTCTGAGTTTGAAATGTGTGGTATTCCTGGAGAAGAGTATCCAAGGAAGGTAGATCATTTGTAGTAAGAGTAGATGTGATAGATGGAGAGACACGTGGTAAGGAGAATAGATTAGCTGGTACTACGGTAAAGTAACGAATTTGTTCCTTTTCCTGAAATAATGTTTGAAGATGTGCATGATTCCAAGGCATTATTCCTTGACTTTTGCGCCATCCATGTGCCTGGTTATAATGCTGTCGTATACGATCAATATTGCGAGATCGATAGGAACAGGTTTCTATATGACAGAGAAAACCTTGTACGGTCGGAAGATCATTGATCTCGGTAATTCCATCTGTAGGATATATCACTTCATCCAAGTTATTTGCAATCAATTGATAGTCTGGATACTGTTCGATTTCCCGTCGTTGTGGTCGTTTAATATGATGTTTTTGAAGAAGATGTTGGGGAAGATTATGGCGAGTATAGCATGATCCATGATCAGTGCAAAGAATTACCCGCCAGTTTGTAAGGATACGAAGATAGGAGGGGAAAAAGTGCAATTGCTCTCCTAACTCCAGAGATATTGAGTTATCAGAAGAATGAGACATAATTGAGGATAAGAGGAATATGTTGGAGTGAAAATATTTACTCAAAAATAACTATGACTGAGATACAAATAAAAAAGACTTTTGAAATTGATTTCCCCTGATCCATGAATGAAGCTAGCCATATTTATCTTAGCTCCCGAAACTTTTTCTAGCCGTAACCCTGAGCTACGCCATGGCTGAGTACAAACTATAGATAGATCTCTTTACTCTAATCTTTCTTTCAAATTCTCCATTTAATCCCTAACCGAAATTTTTCACTTCAATCTCTCTTCTTCTTTTATATCCTCTCTTTTGATATTAATCTCTTTATATCTTCTCACTTCCTTCCCTCTTCTTTATCTTTATACTTCAATCTCTTCCCTCTTCTTTATCTTTTACTTTAATCCCTTCCCCTCATCCAATCCATTCTAAACTTTCTTTCTCTGAATCTGATATCTCTTCTGATCTACTATATTCTCTCTCTATTTCTCCCTCTCTTAAAAATTCCTCCTCCTTTCATCCTCCCTATTCTCTTTCCTTCCACCTTTTATCATACCTCTTTTAATACTCGAACCCTCTTCAACTCACCACCACTATTCTATAAACTCTGATTTATTAATCTGATCGTATTATACTTTCTTATTTACTCTTCTATCTTCTAATATTAATACTATCTCTCTTCTTCTCTTTATACTACTATCCCTAACCCTATCTCTCCTTCACATTATTATCTCTAATTCTATCTTCCCTTTATACTACGGATCCCTATCTCTTCTTTACACTATCATCTTCTCTTCTTTACACTATCATCTCTAATTCTATCTTCTTTTCATATTATGATCCTGAATTCTATTCTTCTAATATATGATTAACCATATTTCTATCCTTCTAACATACTACCATTTCTAATTCTATCCTCTGAATATATTCCCATTCCGAATCCAATTCTATCCTTTATATTTCTTGATCTTTCTTCTTTATCTTTGATGGAAATTGCTCCTACTATCGAATCTATTCTCTTCTATATATATCCTCTTTCTTATTCACTCCCTTAAATTCTAACCCTAAAACTCCATTCCCATGCTCCTTCCTCTTATATATATTTCTCTTGAATCATGCATTTCTTCTCTTAATATCTGGACCCGGCCCCCAAAAATATATATTTAAAATATATAATCCTTAATCCCTATTCTTCATGGTATTTTGATGCTCTATTCCACTCCACCATATATATCCTACCACCGCCAATACCGGGAAATCACCCCTATAAAAATCCAAAATCCATCATATGAATATAAATATATAAAATACATCCATCTTTCAATAAATTAACATAATGGAACTGTCACCTGGCTTACTGACTGAATGGTCAACTGATCCTCTTGTTAAACCGTCAACTGGCCCGATTACTTAACTGCCAACTGGCAACTGACTAAACTGCCCACTGGCAACTGCATAACCGCCAACTATTAAATGGTTGAACTGTCAACTGCCAACGCGCTTCCTGCCTGAACCGTTAACTGGCCACTTGCATAATCGCCAACTGTCAATTTGCTTAACCACCAACTGCCAACTGGCTAACCACCAACTGCCCAACTGCCCAACTTACTCAACTGCCAACTGGCTAAACCCCCAACTGTCAATTTTCTCAACTACCAACTGTCAAATCATTGAACCGCCAACTGTCAATTGATTAAACCCCATTTGTTAACTTTCTCAACCGCCAGCTGGCAAATGGCTAAACTGTCAACTGGTTACTGCCTAAACCGCCAACTGTCACATGGCTGAACTGGCAACTGGCAACTAGCTTTCTTCCTCAACCTCTTTGCCTGCTCCATTACTGACTTGCTTAACCACCAACTGGCACTGGCTAAACCGCCAACTGGCTGACTTGCTCAACTGCCAACTGCCAACTGGCCCTACCGCCAACTGTCAACTGCCAACTGCCAACCCACTCAACTGTCAACTGTCAACCGTCAACCGCCAACTATCAACTTGCTGAATTGTTACCCGACTTACTTACCGAACTGTCAACTGGTGAAACCGCTAACTGCCAACTGCCTAAATCGCCAACTGTCAACTTGCTTAACTGACAACCGTCACCTGCCACCTGGCTCAACTATGAACTTGATGAACGGTAAACTGGCTTCCTGGATGAACTGCCAACTGTCAGCTTGCTCAACTGCCAACTGGCTGACTGGCTAAACCACCAATTCGCTGACTTACTCAACCGTTATATGGAAATTTGCCCTGCCGCCAACTGTCAATTGGCTGAATAACAACTGGCCCGCCTGCTTAACTGCCGACTGGCTAACTTGATAAACCACCAACTGCCAACTGGTTAAACCGCCAACTGTCAAATGGCTCCACCGTCAACCGGCTCTCCTTTCTCAATTGGCAATGCCCTTCCTGGCTGAACCATCAACTGGCTTTACTCAACCATCAATGCCTTTGCTGGCTCTACTACCAATCGCCATCTCGATCAATCTATATATATTCCATCATATATACGATCCTAACCAATATACCACTCCCACAATCAATATATATAACCAACAACTCCACCATGCCAATCGATATAAACCCACATCCAATGCATTCTTTATATATGCCTTGGATTGACTCCTCATTGGTTACTATAATGAATCGCTTTCTCCACCAATCCACATAACTGAACCTTCACTGGTTAACCTGCTAAACTACAAACCAGCTTCTTGGCTCCACTGCTAACTGGCTCCCTCGCTCAACTGCCACTGGTCAACGAGCTCAATTACCAATGGGCTCCCTGATGGAACCGCCAATTAGTAACTGGCTGGATCGCCAACTGTCATCCTGGCTCAACTGGCACTGTCATCCTGGCTAAACCACCAACTGTGATGGACGCTCAAGGCCCAGAAACAACTTCATTTCTAAGCGTAGCAGTATCGACGAAGAAAACTAAGTGTGAAGAAGAAGAAGAAAGGGGAAAACTGGCGCTGAGCCTTGAGGCTCTCCAAATACACTCTGTCATGGGATGGAGGCCTTATGGGGAAAGCGGTCTAAAAAGGCAGAATTGTAAGATCCTATCAACCAACTTGTTTGTAACTTAGGCCTTCCCTTCCTCTTCTCCCAAGCTTAGGATTATCATTAGAATAGGCTTATTGAGACGTCACACCAACTGTCAACTTACTTGACTGACAATTGGCAACTTGCTGAACCGCCAACTGTCGACTTTCTGAACCACCAACTGTCAACTTGACCAACGGCCAATGGCCCACTTGCTCAACCACTAACTGTCTTACTGGTTCAATCGCCAACTGTCTTACTGGTTTAATCGCCAACTGTTTTCCTGATTTAATTGTTAATTGTCTTACTGGCTCAACTAGCACTGTCATCCTAGCTGAACCGCCAACTGTCAACTTGCTCTGCCATCCACTACCAGCTTGCTCTGCCGTCCCGGGTCAACTCGCTTACCTGGCAATTATCAATTTCTCTGAACTGCCAACTGTCAACTGGCTCAACCCCCAACTGTCAACTTCCTTAACTACGAACCGCCAACTGTCGAATTTCTCAACCGCCAACTGTCAACTTGCCCAATCGTCAACTGTCAACTGTCAACTGTCAACAGTCAATAGTTAACAGTCAATGGTCAATAA